TCGACAGTGCCATGGTTTGAGAAGGTTTTGGCATTGAATTCCGTGTTGGTGAAACCGTGGTGCTTGGATCCGGAGGGATGCCATCAAGCATGTCTTCATCGTTCACTCCGGTGTGCTGACGAGAGACCAAGATTTCTCCGTGCCCGGCTCCCGAGTCTCGTACTCCAGCGCCTCGGCTGGTTCCTCCGGCTTTCGGCTCTTGCGGCCTGGGGTGATGCTCATCTCGGGATAGCCGTCGCTGGGAAGAGGACCTTGTGAAAGCATCAAAGCAGATCCCACTAGGTCGTGGTCCGAACTCCTGTCTCCCTTGCCCTTGGTGGTGTCCTTGCCCTGTTCGGTCGGCTGGAGGTGGTCCTTGATCTTGACCTGATCTTTGTATTCCTGGGTTTTCAACCAATCCAGCTTCTTCTGCTTCACCTGGGCAAGCTTGGTCTCGAGGGATCGCTCCTGGGCGTCGTAGGAGATCTTGTGGTTGTTGAGTTCGGGACTGCCCTTCTGAGGCTTCTTCTCCTCGATCTGCTTGCGAGTGTCTTGGTCCAACGGTCCTGCCTGTCGAGTTTTGCCGTGGCTGCCCCAAGTGGGTGTGTAGCTCAGTCGTAGACCACAGCCCTGGCAGGCTTTCCAAATCGCGAATTTGTTCGATCCGCTCGGTGACCCTCTCCCTGGTGGAGCTTCGACATGCTCCCCATGGCAAGGACCTCCTGTCGTCCGAGGGTCCCTCGGATCGGGCCCCTGAGTACGCTCCCAGTCGTACTTCTCGTCGGCTGCCAACCTCGCCTTGATCTTGTCCACCTCCGTGGTCTTCTTGGGTGCCATGAAAGGCCGAGGTGAGGGCAGCTGTCGTGACAAGAGCTGCCAGTATGCGGTCCCGCATAGCTTGATCTGAGTGTTGCAGCGGTCGGAGCGAATGATCCGGGTTCATGAGGTATGCAGCTTCATCAGCAACAACTGTAGGTGGAGAATCATCATTGCCCACATCTTCAACCATGCATACGTGATCCCAGGGTGCACAATCACAAATGAAAGACAAGCACTGTGTACAGAAAAATGGAAAAGTGCCACTCAACGAAGTTTCCGGTGATTCTGGTGGGTTGTCACTTGAAAGGATCTCTTGGGCCTCGTTGGTGATGTTACCTTCAGAGGTCTCGGACGTGGTCTCGGAGGTCGACGACGACAGCTCGCACCATATTTGCTCTCTCGGACTGGTGCGAAGGTAGAGCTAAAGCCTCGCTCACGTCAAGCCAGTCCTTCGTGAGGTCGATGAGGAGGTGACCGGCACGACTTCGTTGAAGTGGTACCTTTTGGTTTGGGGCCACATTAGCCAACACCATCCACTGCCCAGCCACGTCGATGATGGCGCCGAGCTTCGTGAGTGTCTTCATTCCCACCAAGATGGGGACACGTTCAGCGTCGATGGTGAAGAGCCCCAAGGAGACCGTCTGGTCACCTAACCTCTGAGGGATCAAAGAAAACTGAACTCCACCGTTGCCGAAACGAAAAGGTCGCTGATAGGCGGCATCATGGTAGACGTCCACCCATTGGTCGCCAAGCAGGTGCTCTCGCTTGCGCATCAAACCTTCCAGCGCCTCCAAGCTTCCAACCGTCTCGGTGGCTCCAAGATCAAGCACGCCATAGCCAGTGGTGTCCGTCACCAGGGAGCTGTCAGTGGCGTCAGCCGTCATGCCAATGAAGTCCAATGAACTAGGTGTCATGGACTCCAACCAAAAGGTGCCTTTGTGTCCACCTTTTCCTTTTCCATTCGACTTGCCACGTTGAGGGCAATTGCGAAAGCCGTGGCCATGGTCGCCACAGATGAAGCATCCCGTACCAGTAGTCGTCGAACTGCTGGCAGTGCCTTTGGCCACGAACAAAGGTCTCGTGGAGGTAGAAGAGCTGGATGTCAAACTTGATGAAATAGATTTGCCCTTCTTGGATTTTCCTTTGCCTTTGCCCTTCTTGCCCTTCATCATGTTCAAGGGGTAGAAGCCCCGTGATGCACCTTTGGCACGTTGAAACTGCCGGCTCTGTTGAAAGGTGCGGGCTTTGGATTCGTAGTTCAGGAAGGCTTCCTCCAGCTCCTTGTACTCTTCAGGGTTGAGGTCGCTCCAGTTGTCTTCGGATGCCCAATAGGTGCCGAAGCCATCAGTCTCCATCCAAAGTCCTTGGTCCCAGACATAGCCATGCCAACCATCAGACTCCCAGCTCCAGTAGACTTCATCGTCATCGTGAAGGCTATCACCACCACTGCTGGGAGAAGGACCAGGATCATATACATCAGGAGGTAGTTTGGCACCTACCCAGTGAATCTCATTGGTGTCCTCATATCCATCTTCGACCGGTGAGGCAAGCAATCCCCACTGGCCATCTTCTTCGACCCAATAGGTCCGGCGTCGTCCATGAGGATGTCCACGTTGAAGGTCTGCTTGAAGGAGTTCTTCTTCTTGATCTCGAAGTGCAAGTTCAATGTCGGAGAACTTCAGGCTGTTGTTGACGGAAGCCTGAACAGAGAGTCGGCTGCTGGCACTGAGGTTGGCTCGTCTCAAGAGTAGCCAACCCAACACTTCATCAGGGAGTACGGAGATCTCCTCAACCTGCAACTCATCCCATGGAAGATCTGGACTCATCATCCCATTGGCGCTGCTGGTTCTTGCGCCATTCTTTCCATTCGGCTTCAGACCATCCTTGTCCTCGCCAATCTGCTTCTTCATCAGGATCATCCTGAGGAACAGGTTCATAGTCCTCAGGCACTGCACCAGTCTCATGACCAGCTGCCGTAGGGCTCGTCGAGGGTCGCTGTGTCGGACTTGTCGGTGATCGATGTGTCGGACTTGTCGTGGGCCTCAAAGGTGTCCGGGTTGGAGAGTCCGGCTGACTTGGAGGTTCATGCTGGGGTTCAGAGACACTGCGTCCATCACTTTCCTTGGGCTTTGAGGGTTGCTGTTGACGAGCACGAATGAGAGCTCGCTGAACCTTGCGGTAGGACTCCAAGAGCTCGTTCGCCCACTGACTCATGGTCATGCCCAAAGGACGGCGCAACCTGATGAGCAAGTCCTCAAGCCGTGCACCGGCGTCTGGAATTGCCGTTCTGCAGAGGCGATCTTGAAGATATCGAAGTAGATACTTCGTGCCGTTGCGCTTCCCCAACTTCTTGTGGTCCAAGGAGGGCGTCACCGCCCAGGCCCGATCGGTGAGCCTGGACGCCAAGTCTGGTCCAAGAAGTCGTCGTTTGTGCTTGGGAGTCATCTCCCATTGAAGTCTCACCTTGCGAGCGTAGTCTCCCCAGGTGGAGGGCTCGCCGTTCCATGAAGCCACTTCCTTGGAGGTCTTAGATCCCGACATCGCCACAGCCCAAGCCAGGCCACCCAAGAGGAACCAGAAGGGAGTGAGGAACAAGTAGTACGAGCGTAGTCGTGGTCACAGCCACCAATCTCGGAGTGCAGAGCGTCGGGCTCGAGGTCGTTGTAGTCAGCTATCCAAGCTGGAGCCAGGCCCAAATCGTCCTGGCTCCGCTACCAATGTCAGGTAGCAAAAGGGTTCGCCCTCTTGAACAAAGGTTGGTACACTTCTCGTGCGTGTCACCTTGCGCAGGTCGGCCAGCGCCTTTTCTCTATGGCTCGAACGGACGGTGTTCGTCCTCCAAACAAAAGCCAAGTATGGCCAAAGGGGTCCCTTGAGTTCACAGGATCGCGGTGCGGCGGTTGTCAGTGAAGTGTCGTGCTGACATGTCTGAACCTGAAAAACTCACATGAGGGTCGAACCTGTGATGAATCACCAAAGTACCATCCTTTGTGGTGACTTTGGGTTTCCAGAACACTTTCCTGCCGCTTAAGATCTGCAATCCTAACTCAACAGAAACACATCTACTACAAACTTGTTGCCTCTTAAAGCGCAACTCCATTGTGACTCGTTTTGTATTCTTTCACGTGAGGTGTCAGGGGTACTAACCGAGCAAACCTTTCACTCCATTGCAGTCACTTGCTGAAACTTAAGCGTCATCGGATCTATGAGGTTTTTTGAAGGATCCTTCAGGCCCTTCGCCGGCCTCATCAAGGACAAGATGTCTCACATTCTTCAAGCCTTCCCTCAGCCACTCGCACTTATCATCCTCGCACAACCGGAGAGCTGCTGAGTGGCCGCTGGTACTTCTATTCAATGGAAACAAACATATGACCTTATATTGCGCAAGAAGGAGTTGCTTCCAATAAAAACTGTTTGTCAATCTTCTGCAGTCAACAACTGCACCCTGACCTCCTCACCCATCCCAAGCAAAGCAAATATCCGGCCAGGCGTGCCCACCTCAGCCCGAATCATTCTGAAACTGCCGTCTATTCTATGGATTCTGTGGATCTGCCAACTTAGAACAAATAATAAACTTGCCTGATCACAGGATAAAACCTGAATTGAGTGCAAGAACCAACAAAGAAGGGCAGAGCTTTCTCTCCAATACGGATCCTGGTCAGGAAGCCGCACCACCACCGCAGGTTTTCTGCGCAAAAGCCGCCTTGCAGTGGCTGTTTTGAACTATGTAGGTGTGTCTTCTTTGTTTCGGACTGAGTTGGAGCATGACATCAAACAATGCATAAAGCCATTTAACCTTTCAACTTTGCTGTCTAACAAAGCATCTGAGAGTCCCACTTCTGCTTCTGGGTGGACATGCCTGATTTTGGGCTCAAAATGCCCAGCGATTGAAAGACCTGCTATGATGTTTCCGTTTCCCATTCTCACCTCACAACATTGCACTACACCCAGCCTCCGACCAAGCACTCTGTACGGATTGGGGTGCACTGTGCTACGGCATTCAAATGCGCCTGCACCTTGGGAAAGGCAAGCAAAGTCTGCTATTGCCATTAAGAGTACAGCCATGCCGATTGTCGTGGTCAAGAAAACAATGTATCTTTTCATATATACAACATAGAACCTTGGCTTCACGCTTGCAAGGCATGTGTCAAGATCTGTACACCATACAATTGTATCTACAAATCGCTGCACGGCTTTTTGTCTCAAGCAATCCTTCTGGCCATGATGCGGTCCTGACACGGGAGCTTTGTGAACTCATTGGGACTTTGTTCAAAGCAATATAAGTCACTCACAGAATCACATCTCAAAGCAGTCCTCTTTGGTTCGACCCTCATTCTCCACCTTTCCCTGAGCATGAGTCTAGCATTTCACCTAGGACTCTCATTTCGTGTGCACTTATCGATACATGGGCAAAGGGTTTCAAAGGCAATTTGAAGCTGTTCAACAAGTGTTTTACTCGCAAACTGGGACAGCAGCAAACAAGGGGCCTGCCTGCGCTACAGCTTCTATGGTCTTTGTGTCGACGGACTTCTCTCCCTTCTTTACCTGTTCATAAAGAAAGTTGAGCCTTTGATGATCGTTAGGAAAATCATGACTGTTCACTGTGGAAGCATCAAGAAATGCCTCTCAAAGTGAGCCATTCTTTGGGCGAGTGGGTGTGCTACATACACGAATCCACGAATCATACCCCAGTTTAAGCTACCAGTGGCTGCGGGCGGGGAATATTTCGTCAAAAGGGGCCAACGGACACCATACGTTATATTATATATATGTGTGTGCTAGGCTAGGTTAACCTCTGCAAAACAGTCGAACAAATTGCTCACAACTAGCATATTATCATACTATCAGGGGCTGAGTGCGGTCCAAGCTTGTGAAGGTCGTCTGCTTTGTGGTTCTCAAGGTTTTATGTGCCACAGACGGTTCAGAGCTTAAACGGGTTTTGCATCAAACCTAAAAATTCATTGATGGAGCTGGGAGTTGCATTGGCAAACATCTAGTTGAGAGTTGAGAGGCGCTGGCTTCACATAGAGTTGAAAAGCTTGGTGGAGTCACTATGGACGGAGTCATTTCGGACACAATGACTTTTGGCACACCACGGCTTTGAGCCGATCAAACTTGCATCTTGAAATCTCTCTTCAACCGTTATATCGATCAAACCTAATAGCTTCTTGCTACTAGTAGCTTCTTGTTCCTAGTAGTAAGGCCGGGAGGCCCTAGTAGCGTCCTAGGAGCCCCTAGTAGATTTTTGATAATATCGATATTAGCTCTTTGAGACAATACAATATCGACAGTGCTTTCCCACAGAGATCTCAGGTAGCGGAGCTAGCCTTCGTGAACAGTCGTGCTTCCAAGAGAAAGTCTACAGTGCCACAGACTGCTGTGATAAACAAACACCCGACGACCAAAACAAAGCCAAAAACGCACGAGGCAAAAGAATTTAGAGAAGCGAAGGACCCAAAAAACTACTCGCTTGTGGCCCTGAGGTGTTGACTCTAATTGCAACACTGTTGTAGTAGCGGACGCTCGGGTCATGCTGCGCCTCAAGCACTCGAAACACTCAGGTTGGTCGGAAAGCAAAGGAGAAAGGTTCCAAGATGTTGAAGTGACATGCCTAGCATGCATTAGCATGACCTCTTGCCGGCCACCCTGCTAGGCTTTGCACTTTGGACCCACACATTTGATTAGCTGTCCTGCTGATTCAAGCCTCACTGACCCCAAAAACCTGTTCCATTGGGATGGTGACGTTGAAGGCAGTCGAGATCTCGTTCCGGATGTATTCTCGGCCCTGGCAAGCCAAGCTCTAGTCGTGGCTTTGGAATTAGGGAAAGGAGGAGTCACGAGGGGCAGTGACTCAAGGCACCTATATCCACAGCAAGAACGAATACAAAGCATCTAGGAATCTAGGGTAGCCCAAGCCAACATGTTCATTCCTGCTTGTGAGCACGAACGAGCACCACCTAAAAACAAGAAAAATACATGGCAGCTGTTCTAACTTTCTTTCAGCCTTCTCTTTCTTTTTTGCCCAACCTGAAGAGAAGGTACAGTAACGTTTGCCGCTCTGGCAACAGGTGGCGATCACAAAGCTGCAGTAGACGCAGCGAGGTCCACACTCGACTGGCTGCGTTTTCGACTGGCCACCTGCTGGGCACAAGCGGCAACAGGTGCGGCCATCGTCATGTTTCCCCTGGCCTGCGCCCTACGCATGTATATAGTCGTTCTTATCTTTTGTTCTCTACGTACTGTATACAGTATAATTCCTTCTGATTTGTCAAAAACGCGCAAAGGCAAGCAGAGTGTTCCAGCAGGTGGGCCGACTTCTCTAGTTCGGATTCTCATCACTTCCCTCAGAATGAGGTTGAACGTTGACTTAGCTAGTCTGGCCATGCAACCATGCCCTGACAAATTGAATTGCACAAGAATTTCCACCTGATCTGCAACACGCTGTACTTCGAAGAGCTCCAGGATGCGAGCCTGGTCTGAGCATTGCGTGCGTTTTTATTTGAAAGGCTTCAGCTTGCCCGTTGGGGACCGATGTGGAACTCGAAAAAGCAAAAGCTACCGCTGCTTGTTCCACTTGTAAATAAAGATGTTCTGAAAGGGTTGTACCGTATGAAAGTCTTCTGGCCAACCTTGTCAGTTTGGTCGAGCTCGCTGCCAGCCCCATCAATATCAACTGCTGCAGCCTTGCAATAGATGTGACGCAGTAGCATTGTGCGGCCGTTTTGCAAAATACATACACTGTGGAGTTTATGGTGAGTATCTGTTGATAGATTTGTGCGGCTGGGGGGGAGCCCGCGGCAACCAGTGAATCCTCACCAATGACAACACCGTCTTCACGGATAGGACAATGGCCCTATCCCGCGGCCCAGTGACCTAATATGCCCTGCATCACATTCATTCACAGCTTCCCTACCCTGGAACCACCACTCCTAAGCAGAAGCTGCTCATGCGATCTTCGTAGCACTGGACATTCCAGGACACTAGGCACTAGGGAACAAAATATCATGATCACCCACGGCTGCTCGTGCCAAATCATTACAGTGTCTGACAGGTGAAATTTGCACACTAATCAAGTTCATAAAAAGCATGCACCACTTGCACTAAATCACTGGAATGCTTGTGGCAGAAATGGTACACTGAAGTCCCATGCCGCCACAGCCGTTTTCTCAGCTCGTTGACTAGAATTGACTTTGATGGTGGAAGCTGTACACAGCGACAAGTAACGCGTCGCCTTGTTGAAACAGCAAGTGCGACGAGTCGCGGAACTATGTCGATGCACATGAATTAAACGGTGCATATTCCTACAACAAGAATAGTGTTGCAAACTCAACGCAAGACCAGTCTAACAAACTTCTTCTTGCCAAATAAGGTAGTTACTTTTGAGGGGCTCTCCCCACCCTTTGCAAGCCACGTGCTCCAGAAAGGTGATCGTAAGAGCTTCAAGAAAAGACGTTTGCCCATGGCCATTTCAGCCTGACGTGGCCAGACTCGTCCTGGCTGTGAGGTCCCACAGTCAACGTCAGCTGCTAGCTGCTCAACTGCTTCTTGAAAGTACGGTGCTAGCAAGTGTTTTTCCTCACTGAGCGTCTTGCAGCGAAAGATGTGCGCATTCTCCGAATCTGCCAAAGCATCCGCTAGATTCAGGAATTGCTGTTGTTGGCTTTGCCTCTTTTGACTCTCCTCATTGAGCCGTAGAGATTGTTCCGGAAACAAAAAGTCTCCAAAGTCAGCTGATACTACGGAAGTCTCTGAAGAGTTCTCCCAGGTGTGCCAGAAGGCCCAATACCACTTGCTCTCCGGCAGCACCATCACGCGATTGATATCCACATCGGACTCTATGAGTGCGGTGGGCTTCATGCTGCTTCCAAGGCTATTTGTGAAGCCAGATGCACCATCGGCCCATTCGCTGGGGTTGGTATAGCACACATCCACTGTGGTCTCACCCACCCAAGTGACCACAGCACTGTAACAAACCTCTCTTCGAAGCCCCAAATGGCAGCCCTTACTGAAGCTCAGAAACCTTCGATCCTGTCACATCAGGCTAAAGAGGATTGAAGAGAACAATGCAATTCTAGGCATGATTCTATACCGGATTACACCGGAATTAAAAGGGTCAGAGTCACAATCGACTGAACCTTGAAAAAGAATCAATGTGGGTTCTGTCCTGACAAGAGGCCTCCTCCAAACGAGCGATCTCCACCTCTGGCGGCACTGGTCCATCAGGCATGCCCCAGCCATCGCATTGACAGGATTGCCAAATGAAAGTGTCTCCTCGGCGTTCGACCCGGCAAAGATCTCCCGGCTTCAAATTCATTCTTGCCTCTTCTTGCACAAGCTCAGCACTGCTGAAAAGCGAACCCTCGCCTCCATCGGCACTGAGAAAGCTTCCGAAAATGTGCTCAAATTCGGGATTTTCGATGAGCTCAAGGTCATATGAATTGTTAATGCGAGGAAGTTTCACAGTACTGGCCTGTGTCACAATTTCATCCACAGCCACCTCTTGTGCTAAGTGGCTCGAGGCCTTTGAAACTGGGACTTTCGTCCGAAGGACTTCCCTGCTTCTAGGATCCTGCGCAAACATCACGATATTGGAAAGTGAGTCAGCCACAAAGCAGCGATGGACATGAGCGTTGGCATGGGAATCAACTGTGCTCTGCATCTCACTTGTGCGGATCAGCAAAAAGCGGCCATCTCGAAGTAGCAGAATGGCTTGAAGCTGTCTGGTCCAGAAGCTGTAGTGGAACCACGCTGCATTTAAAGCCAATACAGCCAGGACATCATCGGGTAACTTTGGCGCCGAGATATCGCCAGAGTAACCTGGTACTGGCTCGCATTGCCTCCGGACCTCAGGCATATCACTAGAAGACCTTGGCTCATCAAGTTCGCTTGATACTGGCCAGCAAAAGAGCTCTTGATTCAGGCACTCCCACCACAATGTATCCATTGAGAAGGCCTTGATCAAGCAGTGGTAACTTGGTGCATCTGCATTCAAAGGAAAAGGATCACTACCCTGTGGTGGCTTTGACAGGGTTGTGTTTGGTTCCACATAGATCAGATGTTGGTCATAAGTAACGTATGCGACCTGCAAGCTGGAGTTTCTCAAGCATTCGTGCCAGTCACGCAACAGCCGCCGGCAATTCTCTTGGTCCAGGTGAACCTCACATATGTCTCCTGCAGAAACCATACGAAGTTGCCACAAATATTGCTTAGCATCCAAAGCTTGTTGGGTTTCCAGCCATGGAAGACAGACCTTGCCACAAGCAAAGGCCTCCCTCACCGGCAAAAACTCCATGATAAGATCCAGCCATCTGCATGCCATGAGCTGCCAAAGGACACCACTTACTCACTGCGGGGCCTCTAGCTTGGCAGCAACTAATTACATCTAAGAACCTGGAAAACCAGCATGTGCGGCATGCAGCATGCACGACAAATAAGACTCGATGCATTCAAGTTATCAACGTTGACTGACGCTGTTTGGTCTGACCCCTTAAAACTATGTACAAGATTACAAGAACAGGTGACCGGGTTTGCACGGACTCTGACAAGCAATGTGAAAGCACAAACCTCACAGTGCGAGATAAAAATCTTTTCAGCCAGGGGCATGCAGCCATCACGCAAACGCATGCCAACGAAGCTATGCCTGATGGTGGCAGCTAGGTCTGATCAACCTGCTGTACCTGCAAGTTGTGATGTTCGATAGGTATGTTCCACTCTAGTGTCTTGAAGGCCGTTTTCAGGCTTGATGAGGTCGTGTTGCGGTAAAGGGCCAATGAATTCTGTAGACACGTGCTCGACCGTGCAGAGTCATGGAACCTGACTTTTTTTGACCTTGGAACCTTCCGATATGGTTGGACCGCATTGCATACTACATGTTTTATTCGGGCGGTTTTTTCACTTAGGTTTCTGCTAGGCATTGGCGACCTTGGTACGAACTCTTATCTCGCGCGTGTGTAAGCTTTGGAGTCAAAGGTGTCTTGTTAGACCGTTCTTTTGTAGTACTTCAAGAGCAGGGTGTGCCAGGGATGCACACTGGACTGGCACCAACGAAGACGCCAGCGCTGCATCTGTGAAATCGATCCAGGACGCCGATCGATGTACCTGCTTTGCTGTGATGTTATTTAGCCAAGATCCAACCTAGAGTTTGGTGAGCATGCTGCCTTGCAGGGCTAACGCACTTCGTGACTCTTGGAGTTTGCAGCTTGTGGAACTTGGGAACTTGGCTTTCTGGAACTTTGGAGCTTTTGAAACCTTTAGGAACCTTCTTGGACTCCGTTGCATTGCAGGCCTTGGTTACTCAGCTTCCTTCTAGAGCATTAGGGGGGCCTTCGGTACGTACTCTTATCTAGCGACTCTAGTATGTGTGAGTGTGTGCTGAGGGAAGCCTCTGAGGTACAGAACATCTGAGAAAAGTATGAAAAGGCAAACAATGAACCGCAAAGGCAGGAGTTTGGTCCCGAAGTTCAGGACGCAGGTGCTTTGTTGCTTTGAGAGCCAGTAGTCGCGGCTGTTCAAGGTTGTTGAGAAGGCTCTGAAGCATGAATCAGCGCTTCTCTGTAGAAGAACAAGGTATCCCTCGGCATAGCCGGCCTCCTGTCGTGGCTGAACGCCGGCACGGATCTGTTCCCTGCCAGTCTCTGGACAGTAGGGACTCAAGCAAGCTAAGCAAAAATGAAAATGCATGCTGATGAGAGCATAGCTGGGCCGAAGGTCTTGGATACTCTCTTCTTTAGGAATTTGCATGAACATGCGTTTGCAAGAATGGTCGTAGGATGTCGTAGGAGTTTCTGCGTCCAGGCATGCGGCACCTCAGCATTTCAAGCAAGGCATCATATTCAGGCTCTTTGTCCTCTCCGGATTGGAGCTCGTGCCACTCATGCTCCTGGATAAAACCGTATGTGAATTTCAAGAATACACGCAGGATATCCACAAGTGAATGCGTGGCCAGGTATGGACTCCTGCATTGAAGCTTGTTCCTGACTCATCTCCGAAGCCTGTTCCTGGCGAGCGAAGCGAAAGAGGCCCCTTCAAGCCCCGAGAGTCGAAATTCAACAAACGAACGGTCCTGGCAGAAAGGTCCTGGCAGTCCAGAAAGGTCCTGGCCTTTTGAGTGAAAACGTCCGATCCTGATGGCCCAAAGGGTCTTGCCCTCCTTGTGTGTCACTATGGCCAGGTTTCCCAACGCAGCCATTCTGGTCCGATACATTCAAGCACAAGCCTTCGACCTGTATCGCTTTGAAAGAGCAACAACTATCTACCTGGAACACACACGCAACTCTCCTCTTTTTTGGATTGCCCGATTCGGGGCCTCTTGAACAGGAGACGCCGTTGCAGCGGTCGTGCTTTCCGGCTCTGGCGTTTCAAGCACCTGCACTTCTGGAACTTCTCCGCACTCTACAGGCAACACCAGGCAACAGCATCCCTGCTGCACATTGGGACCGCCTCTTCTGCCTCTTCTGCCACTTCTCTTGAGACCTTCAATTCAAAGTCATGAAGGTCATGAGTAACATCCGACTCGGTGAAATACCACACAGTCCCACAACACGACCCGCACGATACAGTCCTGATCTTGTTATCAAATCTTCCATTTAAAAGAAGGAAGGCAAGTAAGAAGGAAGGCAGAGTACTTGAGACTTGAGACTAGAGAGGTTCGTAGTGCCTCCACCTTCTCAGCCTTCTCTCTTCGACGCCTGCTCGGGCGCCTGAGGCATGAAGGGAGGTCTGGACGCAAATGACTTCAGCGTGCTTGGCGAAGCGGCCGGGTGGTGCTACAAGACATAATATATCGTGTTATATTATATACATACAAACATTGTCATATATCATGTATACATAGTATACATACAAGACTATAAAAGCGAGAAAACTGGGTGTGAATGGAGTCAAAAGGCAACAGCGCTTCTTGAGCACCTTCTCTGAGCCCTTCTTTCCACCTCAGCGCCGTTCGTTTAGACTTTTGAGGAAGGGGACTGACTATTCAAGTAATTTGATGATCGTTTGCCACAATTGGGGCAGGTACAGGTGAACCTGCACTTTGCTCACGAGTTCTTTCATCGAGTTCCTGCAAAGCAGCAATGAAAAAAATGTGCTGATCTCACCAACTTGTTCAGCCAAAGCAGTTTGGTCCTCGGAATTGTGACGATGCCCCCTACTTTGACGCCTGCGCCTTGCCAAGAAGGACACATTGCTTCTGAAACGCATTGACCAAACCAATGCTTTCTCAAGGCCATGGGCAGGCTGTTGAGTGCGTGCAAACTTGACACGCTGAGCATGGCGCTGAGATCCATGCCACTGGCCTGGCGTGATTGTTGGGAACTTGCTTGGTTTGTGAAGTTCATGTCGTTCAATCGCAGTTATTCACAGTTTTCTTTCGCTCTCCTGCACGTTCTCGCACTTGCTCCCTAGAAGTAAAAAATGTACGTTTTTTCTTCTCTGTGAGAATGTGGAGGGAGGGAGGAGGGAGGGTTTGAGAGCTTGAGAGCAGAGCGAGAGGGCTAGAGTGAGAGGGACAGGGAGGCTGGTCTCTTGATTTTTTTCCTCCTGTCCTTTGAACCTATGCGCATCTTGATTTGAGGCGCCTCTGGCAGTTGTCGGGCCTTGTGAAGCGTCGCGTTTGGCTGCCTGCAAAGAAAAGATAAAAAGGGTTGTTTAAAAAAATCTACAGTATATAACGGTTCCCCAAGAATCTAGCTTCAAAGAAGCTCCTACCCTCAGGCGGGGGGGGCGCTCTCTTCAAGAAGCCTGAGCTCTTCTGCATCCCAGCCTAGTAGCTTCCTTGCTACTACTGGCTTCCTGACCCCTGCATAATAGCTACTTGTTTGCATACTACCGCCTTTCCGGAGAAAATCACAGAACATACATGCTGTGTCTATCTGAGCTGCAGGCAAACAACACGGCACCCGTCAAGGAGTCAATTGTCCGGATCAGGCCTCTGCGACCAGAAGCCTGAAGCGGTGATCATTTCCAAAAACAAACAATTGCATAGATGGCATCTGATTTTCGGATTAAAGGGTGCTGGGATGGATGGTCGACTCCGCAGGGGGCAGCTAACTGCACTCCAAGAAAGTTGCTTTCACCTTGGTAGGAGACAGGTTTACGGAAGGAGCTCCAGATCCATGTCACACCTCCTCCCGCCTTTCATTGATCAACATGAACCATTGGGACCAACAATGGGTTGGGCTGCAGCCCATCAAGACTAATTACATAAGCCGGCGTTGTCTGAGTACCCTGGAAGGGGGTGAAGTTGCAGTGTAGTTTGCTGAGATCAGTGGGAGACATATGTTTATTACCTTTTGAATTTTTTGTTGGTCCGTCTCTTTCTCCATGTCTCAGCGGTCTGCGAAGAAGGCTCGCAGGTCTTTTGACCTGGGGCGGCCGCAAGAAGCTTTCAGTTTGCCTGTCAGCTCCACCTTGGCGCGACAGTGGATGCATTCAAGCGTGGCACCCAGGCGCTGCATCTCATGAGTTGGATTCCAGCGGGCCGTGATGGCATGGGGAGCCCACAAAGCGAGTGAACTGCTCCTCACTTGCTCTTGCCAGGATGTAGCTCCTGCACTGCTGACACCGGAGATAGGCCTAGTCCAGCCGCAAGAAGTGTTCACCTGGCTGCGGAGTGCCTCGCGCTTCCTGATTTCTTGTTGGGAGTGGCATTGGAGCAGGGCGTGGAGAGGCCCTCCTTGATCTCTTTGAGGAGAGATTTGGCACGCAATCTTGTTCTGCATAGACTGCATTGAACTCCTGATCTGAATGGCTTCCATTGATGACCATGTCCGTCAGGACGGGCCAGGATGAGCCAAAAGGTCTCTCTTTTGTTGGATCAAAGGAACCTTGGCTGGGGTGTCGACTTGATCCTTCTTGTGGAGGAAGTGTGATTTGTCACGCAGAAGAATATCCATTCGTTCAGCGGCCACAATGAGGATGTCACGAGTGTCCTCGTCCACATGTCTCTGCAGGTCAAGGATTTCTTCCGGCCGAGCCAAAAGGGCGGCCTGCTTGGCCTTGGCTCCTGTTGTGGTTGGAGTCGAATTCCTGGGAGCTGAAGAGAAGCAATCTGACCTGATCGAAATCCTCATGCTCGAGCCCTTGACATAGATTAGGACAGTGCTCGTAGGCTGCCATCCAGGGCCACATTTTCCGGACAGAATGACTAAGATGGCCACCTGCACCTTGTCATTGACATGCACGGAGAGGTGCTTGAGGGCATAGAAGAAGGCCTGATTGCGAGTGGCCTTGCCGGGGCAAATGCCCGTGAGCGACGCTACTCTCTCTTTGGTGAGGACCTGATGAACACAGATGGCAAAGACATAGCGCTTGTGCCTGGGGTCTTTACTTGTCAGTGCAATAGCCACAGAACAAGTGGCAAAGTGAAAGTTTCCAGGTTCTCCTAAAGCCCTTCGCCTTTGAACGTTGCCACGCCCCTCCTGGACGTAGAAGAGGCTCTGGGTCATGCCTCGATTCCAAAGCTCAGGGTCGGTCCCAACTCGAAGTCTTTCCTGCCATTGTGTTGGGAGGGCCTTGACTCTTCCTTCCCAAAAGCTGCGTTGCCAGAGAAGATGGCATGAGCCTTCTTGTCCATGGAGGGTGCCTTGATGGAAGGCCCTCAAGGCTGCACATCTTCTGGATTGTGAGGCTCACTGTCCAACAGGCGCTGCCAGCGGAATTCCTCAAGCAACTTGTGTTGCAGGTCAAGCCAACCATCCATGAGTCGAATCTCACAGTCAGGGATTCCGCCATAGCCTGTCCTCTTCCGAAGCTTGCCATTGGAGACGTCAAAGCCGTAGCCCAAAAGGTAGGCCTGGAGAGCCTGCATGGGACCAGCGACAACCTGCCATCTGTATTTGGCCTTCAAAAGAAGATCCAGGGCCAAGTTCCGGCTAATCCAGAAGAGATGTTGAGCACTTTCATCAAAGGCGTGATACACCTTCCACACAGTGTGGATGCGTTGGAGGATGATGGAGTCCCCTCAATCCGCTTTGGTCGGGTTCATGTCGTAGACAACATCCACCGAACCGGATCGCTGGAGTTGGTGGCATCGATGCCCAAGTCGCGAAGGACGTTGTAGTGCTTTGGGTCAGACTCCTGCAGATTGGCGTCCAAGGCTTTGCCTACCTCGTTGCTGCTGGAAATAAAACCAGTTTTGTCTGAGTTGATCTTGAGGCCCGCAGCTTCAACATGGGTCTTCAAAGACCTGAAGGCCAGAACAGCTTCCCGGGCGACATAGTCAGGGTCTGTGCCTTTGATGTCAAAGGAGACGTCATCTACCCACGTCTGCAAGAGGACTGCCGGGTGATCCTGGACCAGGGCGCAGAGAGGCTTGTAGAGGACCAATTTGGCAATGGCCGATGCCTGCGGGCAGCCTTGCAGGATACCCTTTTGGTAGTGCTTGGGCTCCCCCACAATGCCTTCAGCTTGAAGTAGACGAGGGCCAGTGTAAAGGTCCAAGGCCAACTTCAGGTGAAGCGGAGGGTGGTGAAGTTCCATGGCCGGATCAATGATGTGGTCCAAAGTGACAGTGTCGTAGAAACATGCGAGATCTGCCAAGCAGGAGACCGTGTATAGACCCCTTGGCGCTTCCCAATCTCAGCCGCCAAGGGCGATCAATAGGCAGTCTCGATGAGGGCGTGCTTGGTCCCAAGGCATGTCTCTGTCCAGACCCATCTGCCACTGCTGAAGTGATTTCCTGTACCTGTTCCACAGCCGGTACAGGCAGGATGTGAGTGCAATTGGACGTTCGACGCGCTCGTTCTTGAGTATCAAGACGATGTTTGCGCAGCCCATTTGGACTGGCAGCAAAGCAAAGCAATCTTTTCCATCTCGGTGAGGAGTTGAGCTATAGCCGGTCCACAGCTGGATACGGCGTGCGCAGCAGGAAGTCTAAGAGATGCCATCTGGGCCTGCAGCCTTGTTGGGAAGCTTCCTCATCAGCTTTTGGAGGATGGTTGCGTCAATGGGTTTGAAGGTGGCAGCTTGTGCTCTGGCCAGCCTGCCTAACTCTTGTAAGCCTCGGATGTGTGCAGGGCCCTCATGAGGGAGCCAGACGTCGCCCCATTGTTGTTCTCTGGCCTCAACACGGAGTGATGGGGGAAGATCCTGAAAGGGCCGCTGCCAGGCTTTTTTTGGTCGAAGACTTCGGAAAGGTGTAAGGCCTTTGCCATGAGCCTTTTCCAACCATTCTCGAAACTCATGGTTTGTGGAGGAGCAACTGTTGCTGAGCATCCTGTGGCTCCTGCAAGATGATCTGCCTCAAATTGGAGGGATCTTGAGTGGAGTTGTAGGTCCAGTGCCAGAGGAGGTCACAGAAGCCCTGTTGATCTATTTCCCCTGAAGACTGAAGAGTGTTGAGCGGTACTTGTGGAATCATAGACCTCAAATCATGAAGGACTCCCGGGCGATGCCCATGGGTGACCACATTGACCCTGACATTCATCTTTTCCTAAAAGGCAGGGCTGCCTTTCTTCCAGATCTTGGGTCGACAACGGGGCTTGGTGATACTGGATGTTGGATCCCCTGCCCGTCGCGGGGTGATGTAGGAGCTGTGTGATGTACTTCTCTGTGCGTGTGACCCATCTGGCCAGATCGGAGCCCACCTGTCCAAGCATCTCAAAAGAGCCATCGTCCTCAGAGAAAGTGGTCCAGTTGAGCGGCAATTCAAAGGTCCAATGGGAGGAAAGCGCTGAAGTTGCTGGACGCTTGTTCACAGCTCAGCTTGACCGGTTTCCAATCCCCCCAATGATGAAAGGAGATTGAAGGTGATCCAGAATTTGGAAAAGTTGAGGATCTCGTTGAAGGCTCTCACCCGTTCGCAGGCAAACCTGGATGAGGAAGATGTCTCCTCCTTGCCTTTGCACGCAAAGCTGTCCACCCATTGCCCTGCTTGGTGAAGGTGAAGACGGATCAAGTGTCGAGAGGAGTGAATTGTGAGGAATCCTCCTGTCGAGCCGCCATTTCCAGTGGGTTCAGCTTCCACTCCATGGCATTTCCAGCCCCTGACGGTTAACTACTGGAGAGTGTAGAGCTGGCTTTTGAAGATGTGTTTCTTGAAGTAACATGATCTTGTCGCCTTGATGCCAGACCCAGTCCTGCACCTTCCTGCCAAAGGTGGTGACGTTGCTGAAGGTGATGTTGAGAGTCTCTTGCGACTGCCTGACCTTTTTAGGAAGAGATTCGGCAACCTCCACTGCCGTGTCCGGCACCAACCCATCAGTAATCTCCTTCCTCTGATGTGAGGGATGGCCTGAGGATAGGCCTCATCATCAGCAAGCCAGTGAATGTTGTTCACTGAAAGGATACTCTGGTAGTGCAGTCTGGTGATCAACTCCCTGGTGAAGAACCAGTCCAACCGTTCGGTAGGTGGCGAGGTGCGCGCGAAGTCCCTCCTCCGAAAAAGGGATGTCGAGACGAGTGGGGACCTTGATCTCCCTGTGATGTTTTATCCACGAGCCTTCCTGTAGGGCCGTGCGCTGGATGTGGATGACCAGTTTTTCGGAGCTCCGTATAAAAACTGGCCGTTGGCTTCATCAGCCCACTCATTGATGAGGAGATCCAGTGAGATGGGATCTGCTCCATCCGGGCACAGGATGTTGAGCGGAAACTGTTCCCATTCTTCAATCCTTCCATAGGTGTTCTTATGGAAGAACCTGCCGGCGAAGAAGGTGGTGCCTGAGTAGGCCCACAGATGATGGACAAAGTCAGCAGCGTCTGACTGTTCGTCTTTGTCAAATTGAGACCAGATGTGGCGCGTGTCTTGCAAGCCTGTGAGAAACTGAGGTTCCCCATCAGAGAGATATTGGCGGACTGCAGGATGAGTCCGGCCCCAAGCCTGTGTGGCTTCATCAGCATAGGCTCCAGCCCAACACCAACATCTCCACGGGGCGTTGCCATAACACAAGTTCTTGTGGTTACGAAGGACGCTGGTCAAGCCTTGAGAGATCACGAAGATGTTGGCA